CCAGACTATTATAGTTATTATAATCTCATCTTCATCTGTTTGATAGATCTGATAATAATGCTTGATATTTCATATTAGTAGTTAGTAACATCTTTATGATGATTCCCAACTCCTCAATGGCATTAAAACTTTCTAAAGAGACATAATAAAATGACAAGAAAACTGCTCTACTTTGTTTCCTAGAAATTCATTAGCCACTTAAAATTATAGGCACAGAAATATGAACTTCATCTCAACAAAGGAGATGAAGTTTTGCCACTTACCAAAACAAGCATTGAGTTAATCTTAAGATTCTTCACTAGAGTTCTATGAAAAATTTCAGAAATAAGCAGTAATTTTGTTAAACACACAAACACTAAATTCTACAAAAGTTTTTTAAATGCATAAGGCAGTTATTAATTCTCAGTCTTCGAATGAATTAACATTCATTAAGGATTAGTCATAGGTCAGATTTTGGATACTAAATTTAATGAGGTATTTGGGTAATTTACATTACAGATTAATCTCTTAAAGAGTTATCAGGACCATATTTTTAAAAAAATATTTTTAGTTGTAAACACACAGTAATTTTATTTTTATGTGGTGCTGAGGCTCGAACCCAGTGCCTTACACATGCAAGACAAGTGCTTTACCACTGAGCTACAGCCCCAGTCCTCAGGGCCTCACTATAAGAGTATTAAGTTTGCGCCACTAGAGCTTTATTTCTTTTGTTTGAAAACATATTCGTGTAACAGATATCATATTTGTCACATAGTACATTTTTGGATAAAGCTCTTATTGATAGAAAATAGGCCACAAGGAATTAATTTACAATCATCAAATGTTTTGCTGTAGTGTATGAGTTAAAGTTCAAGAGCAGATTTTTTTCATGTAAGGGCCTAACTCATGTCACTGGAGATTTTGTTCAATGACCATATTCTCAAGGCTCATAGATTTTGGGTTGGGCACAGTTTATTCCCACATGGGTGACAAGGCATTTGAACCCCTATGAGAAATGCCATTGAAACACTGTTCCTGTATTTCATTATGTGCTCAGGTTTACACTTAATTTAAACTTATAAATAATCGTTTGTGGTCAAATTCATCTCCACACCAGTTTGGGGGGCTCAAATGTGCAATTTATAAAGCTGTCTAAAACTTTAAATTTGACAGCAGTTATATCTCTGGAAAAAAAAAATTCGACCTACATCTTGGTGGGAAGAAAATATATAGGGGTAAGCAAAACAAAGCAAGTGTTCTCATGTTCCGGTTTCCTGAATACAACCGGAAGTTGTATGGGAAAATGAGGAAAGTCTAGGACAAAGGTGTTTGCAGATTAGATGCTTTGTGGGTACATACATCTGCTTCGAATCCACGGTAGGCTGATGCCTCACAGGGACTGGTGTGCTGGCAGAGTCAACTAACACGCTATGTGAGGCCCAGGTGCTTCCACTTAGGCCCACATGGAGTCCAAGTGCACTTCTGTGCTCACATGTTGAGCCATGCCCTTGGCCACTTCCATCGTCTGGGTCAAAGTAAACAATAAGTACCATCTGACTGAGTGATGTTTGGAAGGATTCGCAATTAAATGAGACGTTGTCTATGAAGAGCCTGGCAAATACAAAGAGACCAATAAGTTTTTTTTTGTTGTTTTTTTTTTAATTTTGCATTTGCATTGGATAGAACCCAGAAATACCAATGAAAGCTGTGGTAGTTTCCAACCTGGGAGGCCTGTTTGCAACCATTTCATTCAAACTTTCAAGGGCACAGAGTTGCACCGTGTCATGGTTCACAGGATGAAAATAAAGTTGGGGTTAATTGTAATTTCTCATGCCCCCTCTGTACAGTCCTGGTGCTTACTTTAAAATTAGCTCTCTTGGGTAGACTTCCTGATGTTTTTATCAGACTTGTAAACAAAGTGCCTATCCTCATACTTGCTTTTCACAGGTGGAGGGGAAGGAGAGGAAGGAGCATAAGACAACCTAATGTAATGAGTGTGTCACTGACAAGGCCCTATAGGAAAAATATCTCAGATAAATTCCCTGCAGGAAAAAAAAAAAAAGCCAGTCATTGTGTTCTCATAAACCAACACAAAGGTCTGTAGGTCATGCAGTTATTCTAGGGTACTTCCTGTACTATCTCCTCCAAAAACTAGAGAGCATTTTTTTCTTGTAGGGGTCACTGTCCTACAGAGGAGAAACAATAAAGGGCCACAAGAGAAGTTAAAAGGAGCTCAATTTGGTTATTACTGGACTAATTTTGTAAGTCACAGTAAAAGTGAAACTGTGCTGACTTAAAAATTAAGAACATAGGCTAGGAGTTCAGCTCCATGGTAGAGTACTTCCACACAAGGGGGCCCAGATTGGATGGCCAGTGCAGAAACAAATAATTTAAGAACAGGATGATACTCAACTTTATCCAGTATGCCCAAGGATGGAAATATTTTAAATTGTACTTCAGTTCTAGAATGGCCAATCATGGAGCAGAAAAAGAGAGGTGAGGAAGATAAGAGAGAAACTTGGAAGAGATGGAGAAATTGAGGTAAACAGAGAACTGGGAAAAAATAACAAAGGACACACTTGGTGGCTTTATTTTTAAAAAATGATTGTGTAGCACTTGTCACATTTGTTTTTTTTTTTTTAATTATACTTGTGTTTTTGTTTTTTGCTACCCTTTTAAAAAGACTACTCTTTATAACTTACCAATTCTCTTTTCCTTTGAAATTCTTACTGGGTCTATCATGGTCCAAGTGAATTTGCTACAGTGATGAAAATGTCCTGTGTCTATTTAGTCTTACACAGTAGCCACACCTGACTACTGAGCACCTGAAATGTGGCTAGTGCAATCCAGCAATAGGATTTTAAAATCTACTTCATTTTATCTAAAAGTCACATGTGGATGATTGGAATGTGCAGGTCCAAGGGACATTTACAATGGAAAGAAAAATGGTGTCAAGAAGATGTGCAAATGAATAAGCACAGATGGAATTAAACTAGAGTGAATTATAGCCTTTCAGCCAGATATCTTCCCATCCTTAAAGTGTCATGTACACAAAGCACTCAACAAACATTATACTGCTAATCATTCTGCTGCATATGCTGTACCAAGGTGGTTCTGGTCAATGCTAGACCCCAGTGGTTCCTGAGAGATTATGAAGGCGTTGAGAGACTACTATCACCTAGTGGTGTCACAAGCCATGGTGATGTTTTAATGCAGCTCATTGCTTGGGTTGGTGATGATGCTGAGTGTCAGCACACCTGCTGTGCTTCTCCTAACATGTAGTGCACACATGTACAGGACACAACACCAGTTACTTGAAAAAGGCAACAAATGACGCTGTGATGGTTTATGTATTGTTATTCCATACTTAGATTATCATTTAGAATTATTCCTACTCACTAAAAATTTTAACACAGCATAGGTGTTACTTGGGCTCACTTCATGCATTTTGTATTTACCAAGTCTCTAAATCACATCATTTTTTTTCTTCTGCTTGACATAAATCGCCTGATGTTTTGTCATTGTGGCCCTAGGAATAATAGGTCGTGCCACAAGAACATATATACAGCATATAGTCTAGGCATGTAATAGGCTACCTGATCTAGGTTGACATAAACACACTCTGTGATATCTTAAGAACAAAATCTGGTCATTAAAAAATGTGAAGCTAGCTCAGAACACAGAGATCTTGTTTTAGATGTGCAAAGAACTAACTGGATGAATGATTTTTTGTGCCCTACAGCTAAAATTCCCACTGTTATAAAATGAGAACAGTCCCACCCTCACTATCCCTCAAAGAAGCATGAGGTGCATGGATAGCTCTGGAAGTTCTTTGTGCTGTGCTTGATCACTTGGCTGGCAGTTCTCTGCATCCGTTCTTTCTTCCATCCTTTAATTACTGCCTATCTTGCCCAGATAAGGAATACTCTTTAAGGAGTGGAAACAAAAGTCAATGTCAGGCAGTGGGGCAAAAGTCAGGTTAAGTGTCGATCTCCTAGACTTTCAGTGCCTGGAGGAACAAGGCTTTCAGGAAGTATTCAGTTCTCCACGCTGTCATTTGCACTAATAAACAGTTATCAACCAGCAGTTTGACCCCTGTACTAGCACTTCTCTGCGTCACTGGAGCACGTCGCTCTCTACAGGTGTCACTCACTTTATTCATAACGACTCAGCCTTATTTTCTTCAACAGTGTCTTTTCTCTACTAGCTAACGTAACTGTTTGCCTGGGTTTCCGGAAGAACTGCCCTTTGGACTCCACAGACTCCTCAAGGAGACCTGGACTGGGAATGCGTCACCAGTTAACCATGTCACTGGCAAGGGCAGCCGAGGTCAGTTACGACCGTCAGCTGGCCGTGGGTACGCAGTGCGGGGAGCCTAGCAGGTGGTCAGCAAGTACCTGTTTTACGAACGCAGGTGTGAAGAAGGGACGCCGCTCACGTGCCGCGGGGGCAGCCTTCTGTACAGAGGCGGGGACCGGGCGTCTCTGCATGGTGGCCGCACTGAGCGCGAGTTCGAGTCCAGGGCGAACGCCACGCCCACGTCCTCGCAGCAGCGCGGCGGCCAGCTTGCCGTGACCCCATGGCCTCCGCGGCCCGGCTGGGCACAGAGCCCGGCGCGCTGCCTCGTGTGCGGCGGGGCGGGGCCGAAACGAGCGCGGTCAGCCGAAGCGCTCGGCCGCTCTCTCGCGACGCCCGCAGACGCAGCGCTGCGCTTCCGCTTCGGGGCGGCGGAGGCGGGGGTCTGACGTCGCCGCTCTCTGACGTCAGGCCTGCGCGCCGCTGGTCGCCCGGGAGATTGAGCGCCGCGTCCCCGGCGGATGGCGGTCTAGGTGAGAGACGGCGGCGTCCCGCGGCGGCCCGGTCGGGTCCGGGACACGCTTCCGGGGCAGGGGCTGGGGACGCGCGCTCCGCTCTCGCCACCGGGAGCCTTCCGGCCGCGGCGGAGCGGAAGGCGACTCCCCATCGTGCCCTGGGGGCTGCCCCCGCTCCGGGAGGTCCGAGACCTGGCCGCCGCTCTGGCCGCCGCTCTGGCCGCACTGTGGGCGTCGTACCGGGCGGGAGCAGGGGCCCCGCCGACGCTGGAAGTGGGCCCGCAAGGAGAGCAGGTGCCGGAGCACCGCGGCGAAAGGTGTGAGACCCCAGTCAGCGCGCCCGGTGACCGCTTTCCATGTTGCCGGGAGCGCGGGAAGGCGAGCCCTGACTTTCTGGAGAAACGAAGGGTTTGTGAACGCCTTCTCTCTTCCTCTCAGAATGCAAGCAAATCTGTATAAAGACCCAGGAATGCTTTTCTGAGGACCTGGAAGCCATTTCTTTCAAATGCAAACATAAAAAAGAAAAGAAAGGAAAAAAAAGCAAACATCAAGGAAAACTGAGCCCCTTCTGCTTGACGCCTTAGAAGCTTATTTAGCCAGGACGCCCAACTCTTGGTTGTAACTACCTGCCTATGCTCCTTAGTGTGACGACAATTAGCTAGCACCAATTACCTGGTGGTAATTATAAACAATAATTAAAACTATAAAACAATATATAGCATTAAGTCCTCTTACGTGAGGACAAGTGACCGATTTTCTTGCGACATGTATGTAACGAACACGTGCATGTGTTTTCTTGGCCGTATAAAAAGAATGGGATTCTTTGTAGTCTCTTCACCAGATTGGCTGTGAGGAGCACTGAAATCTAGCTAAATGCTTCTTCAGTAATAAAACTTTTCTTTCTGCATTGTGGAGTTTTCTGGCTTGACAGAATATCTTATTTTTAGATTTTTCCTCAGTAATCAGAACCTGCCCATTCCTTCCATTGGTATAGTAAGGCCCTAAATTGGAATAGATTCATAAGTGATGAAGGTAACCTCTGCTAGTGCCTCTTGTTTGCATTATCGCTCAGATCCGGGATCTTAAATACTTTTATGAGTAATATTTAAAAAGATTTAGTAGGTCATTTTAGGAAGAAAGTCACTACCAATGAAATTGAAGATGTTACCATTTTATTTTACTAATAATGAGTCCACTATAAAATAGCAGAAATGAAAATAATGAACCTTACAGTCTTCAGCCAAATGACTGACGGTCTGCCAGACTTCAGGTTAGGTAGTTGGCCATTAAGTTTACTGTTATGCTTGACCTGGGTTAACTTTAAGAACCACATATAGTGTTATGTTTTATATGAGAAGACTATTCATTAGTTACTTGTTTTACATAGCAACTCACTGAAAAGAGAAATATTTGTGCTAACTGGGGATGAAGAATCCTCTTTTCAACCAGTGGTTGCATGCTTTACAAAAATAATGCCACAGCAGGATTTTATTTATTGATTGATTTGTCAACTACAATTTTCCTGCTATCCTTATTGTGGTTGGAGTTGTTCTCTCTGATAGCGCTCTGTGTGTTTCCGGTCTCTTTTGTCAAAATCCTTCCCTGACCAGAGGCAGAAAACCTCAATAAGTATCCACTAAATTCCTGCCCTACCTAACAGACAGGACATTTTTTCCCCCTGAACTCTTAGATTGCTCTTGTCCCTAACTCAGGACACCTTCTGTGCTGTGGAATCCTTTGCTGGTGTCATCTGACTTTCCACATCTTCCCCTTCTTTTTTTTTTTTTAAAGAGAGAGAGAGAGAGAGACAGAGAAAGAGAGAGAGAGAGAATTTTTTAATATTTATTTTTTTAGTTTTTGGCGGACACAACATCTTTGTTTGTATGTGGTGCTGAGGATCGAACCCGGGCTGCACGCATGCCAGGCAAGCGCGCTACCGCTTGAGCCATATCCCCAGCCCCACATCTTCCCCTTCTTAACTGCTTAGATATATATGAACAACTGTCACTCAGATTGGACTAGTTGCCCTTTCTCCATATTTGGGAAGGATTAAAGAAATAAAAAGAATGTGAAATGCTCCATTCATCCTCTGTGGTTTTATGAAAGTAGTGCTAGAGATTCTTATTGAATTTTTTTTTTTTAATTTAGTTGTAGGTGGGCACAATACCTTTTATTTTATTTATTTTTTTATGTGGTACTGAGGATTGTATTCAGTGCCTCAAATGTGCTAGGCAAGTTTTCTCTACCACTGAGCCACAATCCCAGCCCTAGAATTTTTTTTATTAGAAAATAAAAATCTGTTACAAGTAAAATATCTTTATGAAATTATAGAAATGTCCATCTTAAGTAAAACTGGCACTTGGCTTCTGATACTTGGATGACTTTTGAGTGCTTATGTGCCGATTTAATCTGGTAATTAAATATTGTTTCTGTACTTCATCAGTTTAAATGCTAATGGAGAAAACCCAAGTTGTACCTTCAACACTTAATTGATGAAACAAACATCTGTTGAAACAGTTATCCATCTCCCAAAACTTCTAAGAATTTATAAATCATCTTAATTTTCAATTTTCACATTATTTTATTTCTGACTATTGCCATCAATGTCTTTAGACTATTTTGCTTCAGAACTCTGAATTTTGGGAAATTATGGATCGTCACATTCCCATGCATGCTTTACCTGAAGAAATCCAAAAGGTATGATGTTATATTTTGTTATTACAACATAACATTAGAAACATTTTACCAATTAAATAATTCTAAAACACAGGGGAGTGACCTTAAAGGTTTTTAATTTTGTTTACAGAATCTTCAGTGAGTTGGTGGAATGGGAGAGGAAATAAGCACAGTGGACAGAACTGTAGAATTCAATTCAGTGCAAATAATATATGTTCCTCTAAAAGAAGACAAATAATTCCAGTGCAATACTTAACCAGGTGATTGTGGAGCCCTAGTGAAAATTAGAAATGCCCATGTTCATAACTTCTTACGATGCTAAGTTTGTCTCTATGTAGTGCCCTTACTTTTTTTTTTTTTGTTCTAGGGATTGAACCCAGGGACGCTTAACCTCTGAGCCAAATACCCAGCCCTTTTTATATTTTATGTATAGCTAGGGTCTTGCTAAGTTGCTTAGGGCCTTGATAAGTTGCTGAGGCAAGTTGCTGAGGCTGGCTTTGAACTCTGGATCCTCCTGCCTTAGCCTCCCAGGATGCTAGGACTACAGGCACGTGCCACTGCACTGGTGCTTACGTTGATTTTTGACATGTACTGTGTGCCAGGCACTGTATTAAGCCCTTTAATGTGTATCACACATTTAATCTGGATAGCAATCCATTCTTCACTGTTGCTATGCTATTATCATCCCTGTTAGGTCACATCTGTCCTTAGGCAAAAGCATTTCTTACATATTTAGTTTGGCAATCCATACATCGTTAGTAGAATAATTTTCTAAATATTTTTGGAAAATTATCGACATTGTGAGTTTAAACTTCAGACCTTAGCTATTATTAATCATATAGGTTTTTCAATAAATTACAGGCAACTCTTAAATAATTGATTTATTACCTTTTAAATGGAAATTACAGTCAGCTGTCAGATATGCTTTGGTCCATTGTGCATGTTGCTTTGAGCTGCCTGTTTTTATTCTTACTGCATGTCCTTCAGATTTGTATAAACTGCAAATTAGCAGAAATTCTAAGGAAAGTCCAGTTATAAAAAAATCATATAAATTGTCGCACCTAGTTTTTGAAGTTAAGTGTAAAGTGGTGAGCATGGGGAGCACTTAGCTGGGCTTCTGCTCATCTGAGAAATGGTGCTTACGTGTGTTTGCAGATATGGAATGTCCTTGCCTGAACTGAGTTCCCTCCACTTGTAGAATACTTGGAGGTTTAAAAAGCAAAGCAAAACAAAACAAAACAAAATCTACAAAGGTCATAATCACTTCAGATCCTAATCACCTGTCAAAAAGAAGATATAAAGTGACATTAGAATAATCCTCTGGAGCTGGAGTTGTAGCTCAGTGGTAGAGCGCTTCCTCGCATGTGACAAGCCTGGGTTCGATCCTCACCATCACATAATAAATAAATAAATAAAGGTATTGTGTCCATCTACAACAACAACAATAAAATTTAAAAATTAACCCTCTGTTAGACAGTATGTGATTTAAGTTCCATATTACTAGTCCCTGTTAAGAGAATGGAGAAGGTGGAAAGAAGAATCCTGAATATTCGGGTAGTCAAAGGGCAGCTTTATATAGGACATGGAACTGTGTTACTGGTCCTTGGAGGATATATCTGTAGGCCAAAGGCACAGAAACTTTCTGGTGAGAAAAAGATAGCCAGGCTAGACAATGTGTAATAACTTTAGTGCTTTGAATGCATAAAACATTTATTTTAATGAGTTGAAGAGTGTATGTTCTCTTGGGCACTTTAAATTGTTTTAAAAATGCCAAAACCAAGCATTTTATGAATCTGTAGTTAGACTCTAAAGCAGGAATGGCCAGCAGCTGTTGAGGCAGTGCAGAGAAATAGGGACACCTGGAGGGGCTCAGCTGCCCACTTCCCTGGACAAGTGTGCTGGTTGTAGCTTTCATCCTACCCAGTCTTTAGAACTTGAAATCTTCCAGCCTAAGTTAGACACATTTATACAAAAAGTATTTGTTATGCTTGTTATATATCTGGATGCTTGAGTATAAGTCAGCCGAAATGTGTTCATGCTTCCCAAAGCTTATAAAAATAGTTTTTAAAAATAAACATTTGTTTTCCATAACTTCTTACTTATGTTTGATTTGTCTACATTGTCCATAATTTAATTAGTTTAATTGCCTAGTTATTGGGCAATATATCTATTTAGTCAGCTTGCATATATTACTTTATACAGAACCATGTAAAATATATGGATATACAGGTTGAGCATCCCTAATTTGAAATCCAAGATGCTGCAAAATTCAAAACTTTTTGAAGGCCAATACTATGTTATAATTGAAAATTCCGTACCACAAAACTTTGTTTCAAGCACATTAAATATATTGTATAAAAATTATCTTATGACGTCATAAAAGGTAAATATGAAATCTAAATGAATTATTTATTTAGACTTTAGTTCCAAGATCACTGTTATGGTTTGGATCTGGAATATCCCCCAGAATCTCATGTGTTGAAGATTTAGTCCCAAAACAGCAGTGTCCAGGGGTGGTACTTTTGGGAGATGATTGGATCATGAGTACTGTAACCTAATCAGTGGATTAATCTATTTAGTGGGTTAACAATTTAAATGGATTACTGGGAGGAGGTGAAAACTGTAGGTCATGGGGCATGGTTAGAGGAAGTAGGTCACTGGGGGTATACCCTTTGGGTCTGTGTCTTGTCCCTCTCCCCCCCCCCCCCCCCAGCATTTCTCTTCCACCATGATGTTCTTCCTCATTTCAAGCACAGCGCAATGGATCCAGCCAGCTATTGATTAAAACCTGTGACACTCTGAGCCAAAATAAATTTTTCCTCCTTTAAGTTATTTGTGTCAAGTATTTTTGTTCACAACAATGAAAAGCTAACAATCTCATTATTTGTGTGTACTTATACCCACGTCTGAAAAAGATGAAATCTGAAATACTTCTGGTCCCTAGCATTTTACATAAGGGATAATTGGCCTGTATAGATTATAGTGGTATCAGGGACATTTCAGATTAGAACCAATGCATTTTTAAGATGAAGAAAAATAATATTTTCCACAATGGCTTGGAAAATGTGCTTTATTTCCTTATTGGAGAAAAAAATTGAGTTGGGTGTATCTGTGTGGTGATGGGTCTATTAAAGCTGTTCCCCCATTCTTTCCTGTTCTTGTGTTAAACTTTTTGTGTCACTGTATGTTGACTTCTCTTTCTAGAGAAACCCCTCCTTGTGCTTTCTTTCTGGCAGAGGCAAGGAAGTGTAGTGTAGGGGCAGAGAGGAGGAGGTGAGGGGCCTTTCTTATTTATTTTTTCTACTTTTGTTATGTGATATGGAAATATGGATGGTTGACACTTTAGAATGCAAAAATGGTTGTATTACATTATACTGTTTTTTAGCAAAATAAGTAGTGGGGAAAGGAGAATTGCAAGAAAATGTGAAGAAGTTAAGGAATGATGATAAGCTTCAGTTGGAGAATCCGCCACCTGCCTAGGAGGCAGATTGTTAAATCACCCTCCCCTGGTCACATATCTCAAGGGAACCTTAGGAAAGAAGACATGAGATAACCTTTGACTTCATTTCCTGGGTCTTTTTGCTTTTTATCATGATGTTTGACCAAACACAGAACTTCTAGAACTTCCATCCTCTTGCCTGGCTGAAGATGTAAGAGGCCATTGACTAGACAGGAAGGCCACTCTTGTCCTCTTTGTCTACTGCTGGATTGTACATTTCTGTTCTGTCTTTACTTAGACCATATCTCCAGATCTGCTCTTCTGTGGTCTGTGCAGATTCCTATCTCTCTGACCTCAGGTGATCAGCAGTGATGCTGGAATATTCATCCCTCATTCTGAAAGCAGAGTACAGTATCATTCTAAGTTTAAACAATTCATAATTTAAAACTAAAGTAATATAGGTCAGCCAAGTAATGATTCATTATCTCTCCCCTTCATGAATATCAGTTCACTTTAGAGACATGTGAAGTCCTCTTTTTAGAAAAAAACGAGTGAACAATTTTCCTTTGGCTATTTTTGCTGGGGTTCACAGGAGCAGCCAACACAACAGTAGCAAACTAGTAGAAAATTCAGTTCATTTGCACAAGCAAAATTGATCTCTTATTTTTAAAATGGTGACAAAATGAAGGCTTGTTATAGGATTTTAGTTTTAGGAGATCTTTCTTACCACATGACACAGTGAAATAAAGAGACCAGAATTGTTTATTTTGCACAATAGAAGTGGTGGTGCAGGACTGGAGAGCACACTGTTCCTTCTGGGTAGCAATCCCTTTCCCCAGCACAAACAGCTCATTCTGTCCTGTTTCAGTAATTTTAGTACTTTGGAACTTTAAAATTTATTCAGAATAACAGTTTTATATTTCCAAGCACAGATTGTCATTGCCAGAAAAAATAAACTTGATTTTCCAGGTCATTTTGGGCCATAGTGGCTAAGTTCAGATTTTGTGTTAAATGAGAGTAGTGGAAAACAGAAAATGGTCATGGAAATGTTAGACCATACATCCTGGAAAGTGGAGATATATGTGTATTTCTCTGTGTGGTATATTTTTAAGCAACTGTAGTTTTAAAACTTAATGACAAAAATGTAGTTATGAATTTGGAGAGATTGTTCACCTAATGTTTTGATCCAAAATAGTTCAGTAGGAAAAACAGTTTGTTTCCAGAATATTATTATGAGTCGTGAAAATTTTGTCAGTTTGTAGTCAAAACTACTTTTGCCAACTGGCCATAGAAGAGCATGAAGTTTACTAAGGTTTCCTAACAGAAAAGTAGGCATTGGGGGAAATATACTTTGGAAGCATATTTATGTAGATGTAAGTGTGTCATGTGTAATTATAGATTATGAAGCCTGATAGTGCTCATCAAAATATCTTTTTAAATTAATTTATGGTATTTTAATCCCAGATTGATTTATTTTTATTTTTATTGTTTGAATATTAAGCTTATTTTAAGATAATTGTAGGTTCATTTGCAGTTGTATGAAATCATACCTTGTATCCTTTCCTCGGCTTTCCCTGGGGTA